AATCAAGATTGTTTGAATTTGTATTTCTCAAAATATAAATTGAATATGGTTGAATTTTATAAGTTAAATTTATATACAAAAATTCAGAAAAAAATTAATTATTAATTAAATTGCTAAAATTTACTAATTTATTATTAATAATCTAAATCTAAACTATCTTTAGTTTTTTTTTTTCAATTTTTTAAATCATGTTTTTTTTTAAATTTTAAACTTTTTACTGTAATTATTTACGTAAATCATTGTCAGGAATATTGATATTATTGTATAATTTTATAGTATTCATATTTAATGATATAATTTGTAGTTTATTTTTGTCAAAAATGTCATTAAATTTGTTAAAAAATTTTGAATTTTATTGTTAGACTATGACTGACCGACTGTCTTGATGATCTGGAAGTCATCGATGTCGCAACCGTCTTTATCATCCTCCGAGTAATCTTCGGTGGTCTGCGAAGAGTCCAAACTATCGGTGCTCTCCTGTCTGCTCCGATATTTGTCTGCCATCATCTCTCCTTTACTTTGAGCTATATTATAAGTTAATCACCTCTTTTGCAGATAATAATAATTTTTGGTCCGAACGCGACGGATGAAACCTGATCTTCAGGAGAAAGGAGCGGCGAGAGAGTAAAAGAAGAATGATGATCGGTCGAGCGCGCGATGAGCTGCTAAGCTTTACCGGCAAGTGGCGAATGTAAACTGAGTTTTGAAATGGTTTAAAAACCGCGACATTCCCACTTTCGGTGCCCACGCGCAACGCAAAAGCCAACGGGTTTGATTAGGATCGGAGACCGTCTTTTATATAGACTCAAACACACACACACCAACACAACACCACTTCCATACTACATACTACTTACACTACTGCAGAGGCAGCAAATAAAACGAAGAAGAAGGCAAACGCGACCTCTGGCCAAAGACCAGAGCAGAAGGAAGGGAAAATAGAAAATAGAATTGCCGAGACGAAGAGGAGGAAGAAGTAGCAGATCAGCAGCTGCACCAGCTTCACCTCAACCGCTTCTCGCATTACTTTCATAACGAAATGCAATTTGATCCCCAATATTAAACCCTGTTAAACTTATCAAAATCACCTGTTAAACTTGTTACAAATTACAACAATTTACGATTTCACTGAAATAGCTCAAAACTAGTTTGCCGTTAACATCAATACTCCAAGCAATTACAAGAACGTTTTGCATTTGAAACGAGTTCAATTACTTCTCTTTTTATATTTGCATCTCAGCTGAACGCATCATCATCATCATGATGTTGATCATCGTTTTAATGTCTTTTCCAAAATTACACTTCTGGGGCCGAACAGTAGTAAATCACGACATTCGCGGAATTAATCTAATTCTCGCGATGCTCGTAACCTATTAATAATTGCAAATGTAATCACTACAAAACAATATTTTCTTTTACTACTGTTTTACAGATTTCTTACACAAAGATTTCAAAAATATACTCATAATTAATATTTTGAAAAAAAAATTTTTTGATGTAATTATAATAAAGTAATCAAATTCAATTTGTGAAAGAATTTCAGTTACTAAATGAATATGATTTTTAAAGAAATAAAGTTTAAATTATTGATGCGACATCTATTGAAAATTTTTAAACTTAAAATCTTGTATTTTTATGTTTTCTTAGATTATAAAGTAATAAAATTCAATTATTGGAAGATTTTTAGTACTAAATGAATATGATTTTTAAGGAAATATTGTTTAAATTATTGATGCGACATCTATTGGAGAATTTTAAACTTAAAATATTGTATTTTTATGTATTCTTAGATTACAAAGTAATAAAATTCAATTATTGGAAGATTTTTAGTACTAAATAAATATGATTTTTAAGGAAATATTGTTTAAATTATTGATGCGACATCTGTCGGACAATTACAAATTACTGTCATGAACATGCTAGATTATTAGAAGTCTTTGTTTAATTAATAGTATATTCATTATTAAACATTTCCATAGAAATACAATTTTTCGTTAAAAACAAACTAATCTTTATGCTTAAAATAATCAAAATGTTTGTGAAATAACAAATAGTAGGCAACTTTCTTTACATATAGCATGATTTTAGCAATTATTGAAATATACAATACTTTTTTATTATATTAATTTATTGATATTATTAAGTTTAAATTTTATTAATAATTGTTACAGTTTTTCTTTCTTTTATTACCGAATTACAATTATAGGCAACTTAACATACAACTTATAGTACAAACCAAAAATGTATTTATTTAGATCTTAATTAACTGCAGAAACATAATTAATTATAGGCAACTGTACATGCAAATTATTATTAAATTTATTCAATTATTGAACATTTCTAATAATTTCCTTTCAATTAAAATAAAATTTGTACAGTTTCGATTATATGCAACCAAACGTACATAAATTTTATACAGTGAAGTTTTTATTTACGTATTTCACGAAAACTAATGTCATTGTTACAAAACAAACTTTCTAAAGTAAATTAATTTTATATTATAATAATAAGGTTTAAAAGAAAATCATATCTTTTTTTATATATTTCATTTATATATATTTTTTTTTATTAATCGAATGTCTTTAATTACACACTTGAAACTACAAGTAATTACAATATAATACCTATACAATATAATAAATGTACTTAAAGTTTACTTTGTTTTACAGCTTTTACAAATTAAAAAAGAAAAAACAAACAAGAAAAATATCATTTACGAAATAAAAATTAAAAAAAATATAAAGATCATCACAGATGACGTCAACAAGCTGTGTGTTCGTGTGTGTGTTTGTGTTCTCGTGTACAATTTTGTATTTTCTTCTTCTGTTTTAAGTGTTTCATTTGTTTGGTGGTTGGAGGGTGGTGATTGGTGATTCGTCTCCGAAAACGCTTTTGTTTTACAATTTTTCTATATATCTTTGAATAAATAAGAGAAAGCACTCCTTGATCCGTTGCTTTTTTAATCAGAGAAAAAAAAACATCAAAATAAAATTAAACATTTGAACAAAAAAATACTGTCATAATAACATTACATAAAGTAAAACGTCTTTTATTTTTGTTTTTATTTTTTCTTCATTTGTTTAACTCGAAACAACGGAAAAAGGCTATATTGATTTATAATTTCGTGTTTCTTTTTTTTCTATAACAATATTAATTAGTTGTTTTTTTTTTGAATTAATTAATTTATGAAAAAATATGTTTGTATTATTTTTATAATTTGTGTTCCTTTTCATATTCACACCTCCGGAAGAACAAAACGTAACAAAAAACTAATAACAAAAAGATATTTTGTTTCTTCAGAGATGGCGCTGTTTTTAAGCTCGTGATTAAGTTTTGATATGCAAAAATTTTGTTCTCGTATCAAAAAAAAAAAAAATGTACAAAATAAATGTGAAGCATCAATTTTCAATATACATACACAGATGGCGTCTCTCGAAAACACTTAAATAAACACACCAATGACAGTGAAAATTAAATAAAAATAAAATCAAAGCCCTTTACACGTTTTCACTAATTTTAAACCTTAAAAACTATACAAATATATAATCATTATTATTTTTTTTTTTACTCACATTTTTTTTTCGTCTCATATATATAATTTTTATTTATTTATATAACAATAGAAATGAATTTATCTTGTAGGTCCCTATAATTGTCATCACGAAGCGCGGAGCGTTTTCCAAAAAAAAAACAAAAATTACATGACCAAAAATTTTTTTTTTTTAATTTTTGACAAATTTTTTTTCTTTCTTTATTTTTTGATAAACGCCACGCGCGTCCTTTTTTTATATATAATATATATATTTTTGTTTGTTTCACTAATTACAAAATAACAACAACGGAAAAGAAATATCAACTTAATATAATTTCAAAAAAAGAAAAATCCTTAAAACTTATACTTATTTATGTGTCTTTCTTTGATTACGAGCACCGAAATACGCGTACATTTCTCTTAGTTTTTACATGCACTCAAAACAAAACAAAACAATAAATTATTGAGGTTGCTAGATTTGCGTTACAAACGAACGGAAATTGAAGAGAATTTAAAAAAATGAAAATTTTTAGAGAAAAATGCGCAAGAGAAGAAACTGAAAAATTATAAAAAACTCTCCATTTTTTTTATACATCCTATTACATTTATACAATAATTATGTTTTTTTTTCAATATATATATAAGTTCCTTTCCTTAACTTCTCGTTAATTTTACTTTTCTCCATCTCCAATCCTTCTTTTTGCTTCATACTTATTCACAACGTACATTACAAGGCACGAATGTATAAATTTCTTAATTTCCTCTTATATATTTTTGTTTGTCTTCAATATTACTTTTTTTTTATATATATAATAATTGTATTAAAAATTTTTCTTTTTCTTTATTAGCTTAACCTCATGGCACTTAACTACGAAAAAGTAATCGCGTTTCTCATCGAAAATCCACGAGATGATTTACAAAAATACTTGTTTTTTTTTTTCGTTTATAAATTTAATTAATTATTAAATTATTTTCCTATCTTCATTTCTCTCAGCCATCTTAGATGAACGATACGAAAGCTTTAAAGAAAATAAAAAAACGATAAGAGAAGCAAAAAAAAAACATCGAGAAGTGTGGTAAATTATATATAAAAAAAAACGTAAATTAACACACTTTACTTAATAATAATAATAACGATAAATCGTCTACGTTTTACATTCATATAATTATAATCTAAAATTTATATTTATTTATTTATATATATATATATTGTATATTTATAAAAACAACTTAAAAATTAAAAATATTTCTTTTCCTTTAAGAATGCCTTTGTTTGTTTCGTAAAAAAAAAATTATTAGTGGAAAACTTTTTCTGTCGTAAATTGTAATTGTTGTTGTTGTGTTGAGACGTTGTACTAATTGAGTTTTGTTAAGCGAATGATTGTTAAATTATCCATCTTCTTAATCTCGGGTTTGGTTTTGCTTGGTTTAGTATGGGATGTGATGAAGGGTTTATTTTTTTTTGTTGTTGTTGTTGTTGCTGTTGTCTTCTTGATTCTTTTGGAAGATGTTAAGCATTTTTCTCTTCACTTTTCGTGGATCATCATGCGCTGTCAGGGTCCACCCAGTCGACGCTCGCCCAGGCCGGAAGTTCCGTTTGGTATTCCCATCCTGGACCCTAAGAAAGAAAAAAAAACAAACAAACAACATTAAATTTATGTTTTGCTGCAAACATTTCATTTAAATTCAAACTTGTAGTAATTTAACTGAATCTTAACTAAATAATGATGAGTGTTTATTATAAAAAGTGATGAAAACTAATGAGATTTTATCAGGAAATGGAATTGAAAAGTTTTCAAATTAGTTCGTGAATTGAGTACGCGATTGAGTTAAGTTTTCGTTTGAATTGCACTTTAATATATTATGTATATTTGCGTTTATAAATCGAGTTGAGAAGAGATGTGAGTGAATCAGAGTGCATTACGATGCAAACTTTTTACGTTGTTGGGATGAAAATGGAGCCGTTAAACATTATAAGTCGAAGGCGGTTATGAAGATGTTTGTAAAATCGTATTTGAGAAAGAAATAAAGAACTTTTATTGGCTTAGGATCACGCCGGAAAGTTTTACTTTTGGAGGCAATAAAGATTTGCGGCGAAATCCTGTTCGGAAAGTTAATGAAGTGGAGAAGTTGTTCTCTCACCTTGTACTTCCAAGCGTGCAAGTACATGACCAGATCTTGGGGTTTCGGATCCCTGTAACGGACTTTACATTCGTAGCAGTGCTTGTCGACGGTCATCTTGTCGGTGTTGAAGCTGAAGTCGGGCGCCTCGTGGCCGGTCTGCGTCGCGACGGTGCATTTGGCGTCGTTGGCTCGTGACAAAGGTGAAAGGGCCATCGGATGGGGAAGGGCGGCGATCGCGGGCGGCGGTGGCGACGATGAGGAATCGCAACCGATGCTCGTAGAAACGTCGCAACTCTCGTCGCATGGAGACGCCTCCCTGGATACCCTGTCACCGTCGTCGTCGCTAAGGACGCGATCTACGTTAGCAACAACAACAACAAACAAAACAAAAATCATATAAACTTGGCAAGTAAGGTGTAACGTTACAATTACTAACCTTTGGGAACTAAAGCTGAAACTAACGATTCATCAAGGTCACCCTTCCTGTGATTGAACATGGACAATTCGCTGTCCCCGTCCATTCCTAACCAATTCTCCGCGTTGTGTATATGAATCAAATCTCTGACCAACTCTTCGTCGGATTTTCCACCCAGATCGCCGCCTTTGCCTTTAAGAGGTCCGAACACGTCGTGATTGTACAAAGGATCATTGACTACCGGGTAACCTGAGAACAATTAAACATTGATAATAATCACCAGTATAAGGAAAAGCGTGAAGAATCGTACCTAAATATTGCAGATGCACTCTGATCTGGTGCATGCGTCCAGTCTTTGGTTTACATAGAACTATGCTCGTCTTTCCATTGTACCCAAGTTTCTGGAAGACCGTCGTGCAGTCTTTGCCCTTCTGAGACACCTTGCACACTCCGATCTTGTAGCTCACAACTTCGATGGGTTCTTTGCAATCGATGATTTCGCTGTTTAAAATCAATCAATTAATGTTTATCTAATAAAAACTGTGTTTTCGTATAAGTACTTGGGGAATTCTCCTTCGACTCGGCACACGTACTCCTTCAGCACCAGTCTATTCCTGATCTGATGCTCCATCTGTCTGGCCTTCTTCGGCGACCTACCGAACAGCAGCAATCCGCTGGTCAATCTGTCCAAACGGTGGATCGTCCTCAAGTTCTTCAAGTTGTACTCTTTGGCTAGGATGAAGACGACCGTGTTGTGTCTGTATCTTCCGCAAGGATGCACCTAAATTCACATTACAGTTACACCATCATCATCGAATCCAACAGGTCAACGATGGAAAATAAAGAAGAGAAAATTTGCACACCCGAATACATCCGCAAAACTCCAATTACATTTCTGCACAATGTAAATAAACGACGTTGCGATAATCCTGAATCAATCGCGTTTATTACGTGATTCAATTGATTGCTTTCGAAAATGTCCAATATTTATTCCGAATCCGTTCATTCGTACATTCATTTGTTCATCAGAAACAAAAAACAAATATCGGCCAACTCGAATATATTCGAACCAAATAAATTACCCTAGCAACCATTCATATGTTTTGTTATTTTTTTTACCATTTTGATAATTCATTAAATAATACGTAGTTGTCGTTATACCAATCCAATTTGAATCAAATTTTCTGAAAGAAATTAAAAAAAAAAAACGAATATTTTTGCATCATTTTGCAAAGTATATGTTCTGAATGGAAATAGATGTAGATTTAGTAAGTATAAATTGTAAACTGTTGATACTTAAGAATTGAGGTAATCTATACTAATTAAAACATTCGATTGTTTCTTCTACACCAGCGGTCGGGGAACTTTTTTAACCAATTTTGAATTCATGAAACAATTCAATGTAAATTTTAAATAAACATTATTTATTGAATTAATTTGCGTTTACATATTTATAAAAAAAAGTTACATGAAAATAGTAACAAATAGTAATAGACAAACGAAAAAATGAAATTCTTAAATTGGGAACAAAC